GAGAACAAAGAAAATAGGGGCTAGGTCCACGAAATTGGTTATCCATTGAGTTTTGAACTGTGGAGTCTCTAAAACTTTGTATCGACAGATTCACATGATAAAATGAGTCCTATTGATATCGATGCTTCTGTTACACGTGAAGTAGTAGAACATGATAAATCTTTACTGCTTAACGGTTTAGGCTCTGATAATTTCCTACTCTAGCTTACAAATAATGTGCATCATCCAATTCTTTTGTGCTTGCAGAAACTACCATACCATCGACAGGTTCACCTGTGTCTGGTTTCATTGACGGAAAGTTTGAGAGTGGATATCTTATTACGGTGAAGATTGGATCCGAGGATCTTAAAGGTGTTCTATATCAGGTTCCAATGAACCAAATGCACCAAGAGTTGCAAAATCAGAATCTACCTGCTTACAACACTCGGAAAGAAGCATCAACACCTGGGGTAGTTCGAAGAAAGCGTAGGAAGAAAGGTGAAATCAAAAAGCGCGACCCTTCCCATCCCAAGCCTAACAGAAGTGGTTATAACTTTTTCTTTGCAGAACAACATGCCCGTCTGAAACCTCTTTATCCTGGAAAGGATAGAGAGATTAGTAGGATGATAGGTGAATTGTGGAACAATCTGAACGTACCAGAGAAGATGGTAGGAACCAAACGATATATTTCATATCGGAAAAAGGTCCAAAAATTTACTCCTACTATACAAAATATCTTAATTTTGCCCAGCTCCGTTATACTTTGAGGCCATTCATGCCCTTGTTGTTATCAAATTGCCTCGTATTTACCTTGACTTTAATGGGGTTCTAGCATGGACTAAGGTTGAAACTCCTTTACAGTCGAGGTCAAATATGAAATGATTTGTTGATGGACACTGAGGGTATGAATGGCTCTCTAAAGTATAACGACAATTAAGATATTTCGTATTCTAGGTGGTTATTTATGAGCCCTTCTCTGGTTTAAATATCCCAAGACGTATGAGATTGCATGTTCTTGTTTGTTTCATGCTAACTACTTCCAATGATTATATTCTGTTGAGTTCAGGTCTATCAGGAGAGAGCATTGCAAGACAAAGAACGATACAGAATGGAGATGCAGGACTATCGCGAGAGACTAACAGCTGGACAAATTGTTAGCAGTCCACTGCTAATACAATCTTCTCTTGAACACAATGTCGATATGATTGATCAGCAAAGTGAACCTCAAAGTGAAAATGGAAACGTCTCTTGGAGTCCAGAGCACGGAACAAGTTCTGATAAATGTGCACAGAGCAACTCGGAGAACAACAACAACAAAGGCACAGACCCTCCAGTATTGGAAATGCAGACAAACAACGTGATCGTTGAGGAATTTGAGTTGCTTAAGAGAGTAGACATGGTCGAGTGCGAGGATAAAGAAATGCAGGAAGAAGAAGTTGAAGGTGATAAACAAGAAGAATTACAACATAGCAAGGAAAAAGTTTTTTTCTTCCTAGAAGAAAAAACTTTGTTGCCAACTGAAGGGAAAATATAAACATGGTAAAGTTTAAGTTAATTAACTTCCTAGATATTACAACTTATCTTAATTATATGGTGTTTGTTTTGACTTAGTGATAATTATGTTGTTTAGCAGTAGTTTTGGATATAATTTAGAAAGTATGAACCATTTTGATGTATTTCATGGGCATTCTTTACAGATTAACTGCCCTTTTGTTCTGCAAGGTTAAAAAAAATATGAGACTTTTTAGCACATGAAAATATCTTTCCTTTTTCTTTTTTTGGTTTATCATTGAATACTCTCTTTTTTGTTTGGTTTCCCATCTGTTGTTTGGTACCTACATGGGAGCCCGTATAATTTAAATATGCTCCGTGTAGGGTTCTATCTGGGGAGAAGCGCTCGCTACTAAGAATTCTCCATATATACCTATGGAACATGGAAATGGTTCATACTTGATTTTGTTTTCAAAGTTTCATTTGTTTTGTGTTACTTGAACTCTTGATAATGTTGTAAGGCGTGAGTTAGATCCTTCAAAAATGGTGCATTTTCGATGTCTAGCACATGTGCAACAACACTTTTTGAGAGTCCAAGTAACATATAATTGAAACATGGTTAAGTGTGGATGTTTTTTTGTGTACAAATTGCTACATTGAACATCAATTTTTTTAAAATTTTTTTGGTGTTAATCATGTCACATAGTCAATAAATTCATATTTGTGTGTATATTTGAAAGGTTATTCATTTATTTTATTTAAAAATTTATACATATAGACCTACTACTGAAGTGGATAAAATGCTCTAATATCTAAAAGATTATTTATTTATTTTTATGGCTCGAAACTGAAACCTCTTAAATTTCTCATTTCTTTGACAATGACCTAATCACTATTAGACTTGCCAAAAATAATGGAGAGGGGTAGCCACTCTTTATAAGCAAAGCAAAAAAAAATAAAAAAATGTAGCAAATATTATATAATTTTCACTTTTAACTAAATTTATACATTCTTTTTCAAAATGGCTTTTTCATCGTGATATCATCGTAATAAGGAATTTTAATATTTTTAATGTTAAAAAATAACCGACCAACCAATCATATTTCAGTTTATAGCAACTATATTAATGTTGATGTCATTTGCTTATATATGCAACATTTTCAAGATTTAATTAAAATTCATTTCTTAAAGTTTTATCACAATATCAAATATTTTATTTGGATAATTAAATAGTATTCTTAAAATTATATAAGTAACCTATAGGTTATGAGTTTCGTAAATTCAATTACTGATGTTTGTGTCAGCATATTTCCTTTTAAATTGTCTAAGTTCTCACGACTTATTTTATTTTAGGGTTTTCTTTTTTGTCGTGCACTCATATTACGCTACTCCTAAGTTCAAAAATTGGCTATACGACACTTTTCGAGTTCCGTGAGAGCTTAGGATGCCTTATACATCGAACTGTCTTAATAATTAACTTTTCTTATTTAGCTTAAGCAACAAGTTTGTATACATTGTCAAAGCTAACTTGCTAATTAAGGACTGCTACATGCAGAAGCAATTAAAGACATTAATTAGGTCAACCAAAATTAATTTAAATAAACAAGGTTGAAGTTGTCAACTGCTAAAATTATACATTGGTTTTTTGCCATACTACTTTTTTTTTTTTAAATAATAATAATTGCACTTGATTTAATTTAATTACAGTTCCTTGAATCTTAATAGTGCAATTGGTTAAGTAATTGCTATATTATATGTGTAATTGTGCATTTATGAAAACATACTTCAACTATCGATTTTTTCATTTTCCTATATAAACGATAGTGTGATTATATTTCAGCAGGTAGGAAACTCACATGCCTGATAGTTGAGGCATCTTTGATAAATAATTGGTGTCATTATTTAAATGATAAACTCGCATACATCTGATAGTTCAGATATGAAAATAACGAATCAACTCTTTATTTAAAAAAAACTTCAATTAAATATTATCTAAATGAGCAAATTTTGGAAATAACATAAGGGAGCTTGTCAAAATTAAACTTGTGAAATTATTTCATTTTCTATAGTACTTTAACAGCCATTCCTCAAATCATACATTTAATTCGAAAACATGATTTGACCTTATATGTGTTTTTTTTATTCTATAGTCTAGAAAAAAAAAAGTCAAGGAAATTAAGATAAGAAGAGTGCATTTTTTCGTTAAAGAATTGTTTTTCATTTATAAAGTCACTTAATATATGGACATAGCAAAGAAGCATGGGAATATTTTTTCCATATTATAAAATGAAAAAAAGTCAAACCTTTGAGAGGGGTTGACAAAACAAGAAGTATTTGATTTTGATATTTTATATTTTTATTTAAATAAGTAAAACTTAATTAAATCCCAAAGTCAACTAATTTAGCAAAATGTGATGATGATGAACAAGTTATAATAAGTTGGAACATCATGATTCATGACAATCCTACAATAGGGGCTACAAATTTGTTTTTTTTTTTAATGTATAAAATAAAATATATGAATATATATTTAGAGTACATTGATATATATGCATAGTAAATATATTCAACTGGTCACTCTTCAATAATTACAACTTATCATTGTCTAAGTTAGAAGAAGTTACTTGCTCTGCTCGTTGTTTTACTTTCATTTTTATCTTACTTTCTATTATATTAGCAATAGTGAACGATATATGGACGCGTTTAGTAATTTTCTTATTACTTTCTCTCTTTCGCTTCAATGTTTGTAATTATTTACACCAAGATCAACATGCACATGTATATACATTTTGTTGATCCCGGCTTATAACTTGAAATTTGAAAGGTATATATTACACAATATCGTAGATAATTGATATTTTATAAGTTCGATCGTGAAGCATCTCGTATTCACAAAAAAATCTAAGTAGGGAAGGTATGCAAATGTAGGCAATTTATCCTTACATAAGCATTGATAATTGATTCTAGCTACAGGTTCAATTCGAGGAAAGGTCGCATCCTAAAGGATGTAATGTAGGCAACCTATCCTTACGTCATCAAGCATCAATGTGATTTATTCCAAGGGTTCAATTCGAGGAAGGATTGCATCTGACCAAGGGAATATAATATTGGCAACTTATCCCACGAAAGCATCAGTTGCTAATTTCAATGTTCAAACTCATGATTTTTATGAATCACACAGAGACATATATCGCTACTTTAAGGTTCCTCTTCTTCCATTTGCTCTGATGTAATAGTATTTTTTACAAAAATAGAAAAGGGGTAAATATACCTCTCAACTTTGCGATTTAGAATAAATGCAATCATTCATTAAAAAAGTAATGCATATATTCTAACAAACGGTGCTTTCTAATAAACTTGAGTATTTCCTTTACAACAAACAATAACTGCCAAAAGCATCAAACTAATAAATCACACACAAAACATAAACTTATGGCCATTAAAACAAAAAAACATTACATGATTAAAAAAATAATGAACACTCACTTAAAACAACAAATTAATATAGAATAAGTCCAACCAATGTCACTACATGATCTTCCAAAAAGTGAATTTTTTTTATAAAATTAAACAACTATATGCATGTATGCTCTTGATCTTGAAATAATTTTGGTAAAAAAATAAAAATACAATACATCAATTGAGGGTCATGATAAATCAGAAACAAGAAGTGCATCCCAAATCATATCCATATCCAAAGATGGCATTCTACTCAATTGAACACCATCAACATTTTCTTGATTAATATTCTTCACCTTAGTAATCTCCATTAATTTCTCACAATTAATTTCCTTTTCTTGATTCTGAATGATCGTGTTCTTGATTGTTGCATTATCATCCGATAGCCCTTTTGGAGATATAATATTTTCATCGCGATCACTAATATTATTAGCCTTCTTTGATTGTGCTGAAATTGCTCGAATTTTCGCCTCAAGGAGTGATGTTATGTTCCCATTGATAGAATTAGCCTTTAATTGATTCTTCAAATGTGGGAAATTCAAGTGTGCATAATCACCTCTTAGCATATAAGCCGCGGTATCATAAGCAAAAGCAGCTTCTTCAGCAGTATCGAATGTACCTAACCAAACCCTTGTCCTATTTCTTGGTAGCCTTATTTCCGCCACCCATTTTCCCCAATGCCTTTGTCTTACTCCTCGAAAAAGCTTCCCTTGGGACGCGGTCATAGAAGAAGGAGAAGAAGAAGAAGATGAAGGCGAATTTTCATAATGAATAAGTGATGATTTTCTTGATGATCCTTTGAATTTCATTGGTTGAGTTTTTGTAGTGCTAAGCCAATAGTCACTAAAACCTTTTGTTGTGGTACAATTTGTTATGGTTTGATTCATTTTCAGCCAATTTGTTGGATTTGTAGTTGCAGCCTCTTGATAATGAATTTGGCTCTCATGACCTATTGATGAAGACATAGGGAATAACGCCGCGGATGATGACCTGGCAAAACACAAAAAAGGAAAATGTCTTTCAGAGGTTGAAGATATATCGTAATTTCACAATACTATGTAATTTCTTCTTTTGTCAATATATTGGGATCCGTGCATCCCAGATAGTGGCATAGCTACCTATTGATCAGAAGGGGTGCAACTGAATCCCCTTCGCTAAAAAAAGAAATATATATATTTATTTGAATCCTATTGATCATAAGTGAAATTAAAGATGTTACATTCTAACATGTTTTGAATTTCGTTGATAGAATTACTGATTCCGCTACTGATCCTAGAAAGTCTAAATATGTACTACTAGTAAACTCAATTTGATAAAGAGAAAATTAGTGAATAAAATGGCAAATAAATAAAAGGAAGAATTAGTATCATACTTGTGATTCTTGTTGCTTAGAGATTCAGCTGCCCTTTTTGAAATCTCTAAAATGGTAGGCTCTTGCAAAAACAACCCTAAAGTTGGGTAATTACATGATAGTGAATTTGTTGAAGAAGAACATGTTTGATGATCAAGAACTTGAGGATGATGATGAAAAGATTCAAGAAAATTACTCAAAGGAATAATATTGTTACTATTCCCTTGATCTTGATGATGTTGATAACTTGAAGATGTCGATAATGATGATGATGATGATAATGACAATTCGTTTTGATGGAAATTAAGTGGAAGAAATTCAGAAAATTTTGTTGAAGAAGAATTTATAGAAGTACTTTCATGATTTATATCACTAAAAATGTGTGGATCCTTGAAAAATCTAGATAATGATTCTATGGCTACTTGTTTATAACAAGTTGGCAATTCTTTTTGCATGAAGGATTCTGATTTTAGAGACTGATTCTCCATGAGAAATCCAATAGATTGGTATTGGGAAAAAAAAGAGAGAGATAATGATGATGAAGAATAGAATTACAAAAATGTAGACATTGTGGTATATATATTAAGTCTCAAGCAAGAAGATTATATTATATGTTTACTAAAGAGGCACTTTAATAAAGGGTCAATAGAAAAATAGGACCATCAATGGGGTGTGTGAGATGGTTGAAATCTCTCCACCTATAATTAGAAGTCTCAGTTTCAAGTCTGAGAAATGATGAAAAAATATCTTGATAGGAAATGTTTCTTCTTTAGTGGGCCCTATATGATGCGCGAGTTCAAATTAGCCAGATCAGTAGGTTCCAACAGATATAGTAAACAATGCTAATTCATATTAGTCATCGGTGACCTTCAAGCCTTGAAAAAAGAGAAAGTCTTTGTAGTGAGCGTTTCTTCTTTAATGAGCCCTACATGATACATATTCAGATTAATTAGTCGGAGCGGTAGGTTCTGAGTTCTGACTGATACTATAAGTAGTTTCAACTCAGATTAGTCAAATCAATGACTTTCGAGCCTTAAAAATGAAAAAATTCTTTGTAAAAAGTGCTTCTGTTTTATCGTCCCCCACACAATGCATATTCATATCATCTGGACCAGCCAATTCCAATAGACGTCCTAACAGTGTAAAGCTCAATTAGTCGAACCAATAAATTTTGAAATCAGGACCATCTAATTTCCACTTCATATTTTTTTATTTTCAGAAAATTTCATGACAATTTCACAATTTTCTTTTCAAAATGTAGATCTTTGATAGAAGTTTTAGAAACATAAATTCGTGCATCCCATTTTCATATATTCTTTTTTTATAAACCAATCCAAATGTGCCAACTCATGAGTTGTATTGTTACCTGTCTTCTAAGGTTTATAACAGGAGGGATGTATATTCTTTCATGATAGTGACTGCAAAAAATTAAAATATAATAAAAAAATAACCTCAAAAACACTTTGCTTTAATTTACTTTATTGTTTTGTTGCATTCATTTCTTGGTTTTATTAGCAAATGATCATGTGATTTTCATTAACAAGCACATGATCAATTTTTCTTTTTCACTTTTCTTTTTTGGGTATGAAAATGGTATCTTCACTTTCCCTTTTTAACAAGTATTAGTTATTAGGTTATAGTAAATCATAATTAGTAACTAATAAAGTAAAAGATTAGTCATATGATAATCCTCTAGTTATAACAGTTATTTAACTACCGGAGCTTGGAGCAACAATAAAATTATTTTTGTATGACTTACAGTTTAAGTCACACGTGATAGAAACTACTAATAATCACACCTTTAATGAGTGTGACGGCCTTCCTCAGATCCTACGTGAACGCATAACGTTTTGTGCACTGAACTGCCTTTTATAATTGTTATTGACTCATATATAGTTATGTATGTTAATTGGAAGATTAATTAGTTGGCCTAATCATCATCTCCAAATTTTATATAGGTACTTTTCCAGCAAAACTTTAAGCTAAACGATATTAATGTTTAATTAATATTATCATCATTATTGTAATAATGGACCAAAAAATTAATGATTTTTTAAGAAAAAGATAATGAGGTTTAATTAGTTTTTGTTCTTAATTAGTAGGAGGAAATCATGGCTGTCTTTAAATGATTTAATAGTAAATAATTATAAAACTCTCAACATTTCTCTTATGTGCCTTTTGCGAATAACATTGAGACACTTTTACCAAAAAAAAAAAAAAACTTAGTCAAAATTTCAGTCCAAATAAGGCAAAACAAGAAACAAAAAAAAAAGGTTATAAATTAAATATTTGTAAATCCAAATGATAGTAGTCACTCTGACTCATACTATTGGTAGTGCATGTTATTTAATTTTATTTCATTCACAATTAAGCTACCTCCCAAATTCCACATATCAATTATCATTTCATTAAAAAAAAAAACCTCCCTAATATAATTCTTTTGTTCCAAAAGTAGTTATCGGATTTAAACAGAGTTCTCGAGTTTGAGTTTTGGTAAAAAAAATAATCTTGTATAACACTTTTCTCTTTAATGGTCCATAAGTAAAACGAGTGTGAATTAATTGATACCCTAATATCAATAGTAAAGTCAGAATTTTCTATGAAGAGAGTCAAAATATAAGAAAGTATAATGTATATACATAAAAAGATTTATTTATTTATTTAGTGTATTTTTTTCCTGCCAAATATAAAATGGATATCGGACATCGAGTAAAAACTTTTATTTAAGAAAAAAATAAAAGAAGAGAACATGGTATTTGTTCAATTATAGAAGTTTTTTGCTTGTGATTAGGAGGAATGAGTTTAATTTAATTAATATATATGTCATGAACAAATTTAAGAGCAGCTATAGACAAGAAACCATGTTTTCTTTAAAGTTGTTTTCCCCTTTCTTAGTTTTTAATTTAACTTTTATAATAAAAAATACTGTTTAATTTATTATTATTTTTCTTTATTCCTTTCTCAGTTTTCAACCTCACACAATACACAAAAAGACAGATTAATTAGAATAAATTAATTAACATCCTTGTAACACATAACCACTGCTTTAATTAATTGGATTAATATAAAATAATTAATTAAAAGGTTAGACATGTGGAGTAGTGGAAAGTGGCTTAGCTTGACCAAACAGTAAAATTGACAAATCATGTGCACAACAAAGACAAAATTATTTAATAAGATCAAATGATAATAATATATATTAAATTAAAAATAAATAAAAACGACAGTTCGATGCACAAAATTTTCATTCTAGGTACGATTTAGAAAACAATCGAATCATATTATATCTTTTATACGCAATTTTTTTGATGATGCATATACTAACAATAGTTTATCGTTAATCATATATTTGACGATTAATTTATTGAAAATATAATTAACTGACTGAGGTGTGCAGTCGATAGTTTTGTTGATAGAATAGGCAATTTATCGATCAATAGGCTTTTTAAACTCGTAAACTTTTAATTGTACGATGAAAACTTTTATCGTTACACCAAAACTCTGATTTAATGGAAGAGAGTACTAGACAATGAAGAAAAGTTTATTGTATATAGCGACCTATGTTACCATCATTTCTTTTTCTTAGTTTCTCTAGTGTGAAGATAAGGATTTTGCTTGGTTGGACAGCTTTATTTAATTTTTACCTATCTTTAATATTATCTTAGGTATAATATTATTAGACACTATGACACCACTAATAACATAGTTAATTAATTAATTACTATATATTTCTCATCAAGCTTCAGCATGATCATTATTTTGTTGTATATTTATGGCTTCAAGTAATAATGATTCATTAACTGACTAATTAAGCTTTAATTTTTATCACACATGTCGATGTTTTGAAGGACACAATTTTAACATCGAACTATTAGCTAATTCTATCCATCATAATTTGAATAAATGAAAAGAAATCACATTTTTCTTGCTTTCGAAATTTTTCTCAATTCATTTCATTGATTACTAGGTTATAAATTATTTTCTATATTGATATTATTCGTCATTTGGATGTGTAACGATAGGGTTTTAATTTTAAGTACAATCGGTGGAAAGATTCAAACTTAAGCATGGCAATAAATACAAGGGTTCCACTCATTGCAGGACTTAACTCAACACCTTATTCACGAGCTATATGTGACGACAATCATATTTCACATGTGTCAGCATTCCCAAATGCATTATTCCTTTCTTTTAATAGGATTCACGGCATGTCAAGTCTTGATAAGATTTTTTTTTCTTTTATATTTAATTAAACCACATACTCTATCGATAAATGGATCCTCGTCAATTCCTTTGAGGACATATTCCTCAAACGAGATACTTTACGCGTTAGCTACAGTACATCATGGATCAAGACGCATGCATAGCGCCTAGTGGGAAAAAACATAATAATGGAGTTTGTCTAATATTTGTCTAATAAAGAGTATTTTAGAAGTTTAATGATTTAATATTCGTTAGTAAATGATTAGAACTAATTTTATTTATTAATTATTGTCAGCACTCTACATTTTTGGCAATATTCTTCATAATTTACACTTTTAGGTGTCAAAAAATTAGAACTACACATATAACCTTTACCCCTAAGACAAGATCCAAATTTGGCAAAAACAAATTTATTAGAATTAATTAATACATTAACAATGCCTCTTTTAATTAATAACTTGAATATGAATATAAAAATTACAAAGAAACAATTGTGTGGTGGTGGTGCAACTACTTGTTAGCTTTTGGCTAAAATAAGGTAGTTTTCTTATTCTATTAAATAGATTATAATCTCACTTTTTATGGACCGTTAAGTTGTAGTTGTCATCAATAAGATTTGTACTGGAGTGATAAGTATTACTTCGTAATAACGTCCAAAAGATCTTGGATTTGATCTCGGTACGACATCTCATTATTAGTTAAGTGTTTTACTCTATATGAAACTTCTCAACGTAAATCGGCCCAATTTGTTTTCTTTCAGAATCTAGTGATCATGGCTGTCCATGGATTCATATATGTAATATTCTTCCACATGACCCACCACACAAAAAGTGAAGATAGAATGATTCTTACTTTTGCTTTACACCACTTCTCTTAATCACCATTTTTCACAAACCTTATGTTATATTTTAATTTTCACAAATTGAACACTTGGAAAAAGAATATTAGAACACATTCACTTACACCACATAGAATTTTTTGGCCTAATATATAGTAAGTATACATATAAGAAATCATTCAAGAATATTCTTTGTAATTGTATATCAAGATATGTAATGTTGTGATCAGAACAAATGTTCAAAAAATTTAAGCTTCTATATAATAGTGAAATGAAAAGAATAGGATATAAGAAATTTGAAGTTACAATTAGAATAAAATAATTACGAAAAATTACCTAAATACACAACTTATTTTACCATATTCTTTAATATTTTCTACCATTTGAAAAAATTACAAAAATTCCTACACTCCTATTCTCATATACATCGCTTTACACAATGTATCAGTCGAATACATCACTTTACTTGATATATTGATCGGA